TTTTGCTTTAAAAAAAAAGGAAAAAAAAAGAAAAACAAGTATAGCTGGTTACTGTGCAAGTAGCACAGAATGTCCCGACCATAGTCTTACAAAACACACAATTCTTTTGTGATACTGATAAAAGAATCTGAAACAAAAACTACAAACTAGGCATATTCAATAGTCTTAGTAAAACAGGCAAAATGTAGAAAATGAATTAAAAAATGAAAAATGAAAAAAAAATCAATTGTTTTTTGCTGAAACATTGTAAATTTTTGATTTTTTTGATTTTCAAAATGATCTCAAAAAATCTGCAAAACTAATTGTACTTGAGTAAAATATGATATAAGCTTAAATAAGCTTTTTTAATTGGCCTAAATTGAGCTTAAAGAAATAGCCTTCTCGCTCGCTTTACTCGCTCGAAATTAGACCAAAAAGTTTCAAACCGGTTTTTTTGACACTAGGAATTATTTTAGGAATTTTTTGAAACCTTTCGAACCACGACTAAAATGGCTTTGATATGATATATCACTCGCCACATTCGGTTGACTAGTTGTTATCACTCGACCCGTTCCGTTGATTAGTTGTGGTAGCTGATTTTGCGTGGAAAACCAAAAGAAAAGTAAAGAAAAAAAAAGCTAAAATACAACCGATTGCGAAATTCCTTCCCATTTTCCCATTTTCAATGTTTTTAAAAATAAAACTTGGAGGTCCACTCTTTCTTTTTTGTCACACCAAAGCCGGAAATAGCTCTTAGATTTCAGATTCATTCATTTGAAAAAAAAATGTTAAAAAAATTGCTTTCTAGTTGTGAAAGTACACTTCGCTCACGAGCATCGGTCTATGGGAGTGAAAACACGCCGATTGATCTCCAGCAGAATCCCAAAGTGCTTCGGTCTCAGTCCCTGTCCAAAGACCAAATGCTTTCCGGGAATCGACCAGCCCGTCCTTGAAGCCGAGAAACATGACGTCACTCAACCCAATCCTAGATTTGAAACAACTTCTCGTGCAAAGTCTATGAAAAATCAGTGGTTCCATTTTTTGAAGACAAATCAAACATCTCCGAAGAGAAGAACGGACCAAAAAGAAGAATTCTGCAGGTCTGTCGCGCAAGTCTAGGACAATGCTGTTTATGCTGGGAAAAACCATAACTGCTGTCGCTGCGCCCTCTTTCATTTTAATCAAGTTGTTTGAGTTGTTCGAGTCAATTTTTTATACCTTAGTATTTTTTTCTAGATGTTGTCTGAAACTTATCACAGTTTACTCAAATTGTCCGTATTATTTAAGGTGCTATTTTAACGCGCTAGTGCTATTTTACTGCTTTTATTTATACTGTTTTTATTAGAACTTAAAAAGAAATCAAAAGTCAAACCGCGAAAAAGTAAATTTGAACTAATGAGCCTGAACAAGTTTTAAGGTTTCCTGAAAAAAAAAAATCATCGCAATCTACAAGTGTTTGAGCTACATTAAAAATTGTTGAGAGAGAAAAAAAGAAGAGCTTAAGTAAGTTTATTCACACTAACATTTTTTTCATAATGCGAACGATAAAACTTTTAAAAAGATAAAGATAAAAGTGAGTTAAAATAAAATTTTTACAAGAAAGAATTTTGAATTTTACAAAAACATTAATAAACGGCTTTTTTCGTTTGACTTTATGCATTTTTCGCAGCATGTAAAATTTTAGTGAAAGTTTGATCGATACGCCGATATGATGTGAAATAACGACTATTCATAGCGTTACTGTTATTGGTGCAAAGGATGAATTGATTAAACAAAGTTGAATTGTTTAAACTATTTCGTAAACTTCGATTGGCAATTCTGAAGAGTTTGAATCAGGAGTCAGCGAGGCGGTTGGTTGAGAGCCGAATGAAGACAAGTCGATTTCGGTTAAATCTATCTCAAGTTCTCTGTCAATTTCCAAATCATCTTCATAGTCATCCTCATAATAATTATTGCCATCATCACGATTGGTTTGTTTCTCAGACAGTTCGACGACAACAATTTCACCTTCTTCTGCTTCTTTTTGGCGGTTTTGATTATCTTCTCCATTTTCTTCGACGATTTTGTTGCTTTTGTCGCCTTTCTCTAGATTTCCGTAACCGTTTTCAATTTTTTCTTCCGTCGTTTGTTGGTTACTTCCTTTGGACTTATCGACAAAGTTTTCGTTTGTCGTTTCTGCTGAATTTTCTCCTTCATCTTCATCTTCTTTTGCCTCTTTTTCGCTCAGATTATTTTGATAATTTCTGTCGTATGTTGATCCATTCTGCGCTAGATCTACAGTGTTCAATTCTTTCTGGGTAATTTCCAGATGTTCTGTTCTGCTATCACAACATTCTTTGCTCTTGTGATTTTTGTCCGCATCTTGGCTATCGTTCAGACTTCTTGATTCTTGAGACTCCTTCGATTTTGTCACGTCTTCGTTCTTTGGGTCTTTAAAATCAAATTTGTTTCTTTCTTTTTCTAAGTTTTGTTCTAACTTGTTTTCTTGACTTTCTGCTGTTTTTTCTTTTGATTTTTCTGCTGAAACTTCTGCTTGGTTTTGTTCTGTAAATTTTTCTGTTGTTTTTTCTGAACTTTCTAGAACTTTTTTCGCTTTTTCTGGTTTTCCGTCTGCTGCAGGTATTAAAAGGTCATATGTGTCTTGTTCTTCGCTTGGACTTTGACCTTGACCTTTGCCGTTAGGCGTTTGACCTTGAAGTTGACTATCATGGGCTGAATGTGGAAATGACATGGGCGTTTCCATGTGTTCTGAGAAGTGAATCAAATGTTCACTCACATACTGCTCATCCTCCAAACTATCCTGACAAATACTCTCGAAATCAGTCAACACAAATGGGTTGTAGTCGCACAAGTCTAGAACACAGAGTATCTCAAGTTTGATCAAAAAATAGATTGACAAAATAGAGCTGGGGAAAATAGTGCGCTTTGAAAACGTAAAAGAATATTTCAATCCAATTAATTTTCATTTGGTAAAGCAAAACATGATAAAATAGTCAACCGACGGGGCTACCTATCTTTTTTGTAGTTGTTGTCACTTAAAAATCAGCTCCTAAAAGTGCCAATGAAAGTATGGAGGCCTATAAATAATGATTTGTTTGGAAAAACATTTATGGTAGACACATTTTTGATAAAATTCACTCATATTCAGAAAACTAGATTTATAAACAGGGGCGGATTAAGGAGAGAAGGGGGTGGGGGGGCTGACTTCCTCCCCCTCAGGTATTCGACTCCCTCACCAACCAAAGGGTCCCTCCTTCCGATGGTATTCTTTTATGACATCCATTTTCGGCTAACCAACCCTAAATTTTTATCCGCCACTGTTTGTTAGTAATTTTTCGAACCCACTGGTAATTTTCAAAGTACTGAAACTGATAGCTTAAAGCGTTTTGTAAAATGAATGGCCTAAAAAATTACCAAATCAGTCATGCAATATTATGTCACAATGAGGGTTATAGACAATAATCCAACAGACCATGCAAATTGTAAACATAGAAAAACTACAATCGGAAAACATAGCTAATCGAAGATTGAAAAAGAGTAAAAAACGCAGTTAAACATTTAAAAAAAACACTGACTTACTTAAAAAAATCTCAACTTTTGAATTTCAAAAAAAAATCAGCAAGACCTATATAATAGTCTTCACTACGTTCATTGCTCTTAAAAATAGATGCTTTTTAAGCTTTTCGAACTTCTAGAACAATTTATGGCTGGCAAGTTTTTGGTAACATGAACTTAACTAGAGAAAATTGGATCAATAGGTAAAGTTTTTATTCCGCTACAAATCTGAAAATTAAATTTCACTTTCGAAACTAAAAATTGTTCACACTTTTTTGCGCCATTTACACTTTCGTGTTTAGAGAGTGATATTTACGAAAATTTCAGCAGATGAATTTCAACTGAACTCAAAAAGAGCATAATATACCGAAGTGCATTCATAAATACACTAATATGTTTGAAGGCGCATCTATATTTATTAGAGACTTTCAAGACTTTTTCCGGACAAAAAAAACGAAAAAAAAAATCATTAAGACCTATATAAGAGTCTTCACTACGTTCATTACTCTTAAAAACTCCAAGACTCAAGGTGGCTGAAATAAAATTCAGTTTTTATGATATAAAACTCCAAAACCTACATGACCTTAAAAATTTTTGACGATCAAAAATTTTTTCTCTTCGACCCCTTTTTTGATAAATAAGCCCTTTTAATAAAATTATCAACTTTGAGTGGAACAGTTTTAAAAAAATTTTTTCTGAAAAAAAAACTGATAACAAAAATTTTAACTTTTAAGAAAATTTTTCATTAACAATCCTGAAAAATAAAACGTACCATTCATATTTTCAGAAAAAATTTTGGAATATTTATTTAAAGTTGTTTTCAACAACATTTTGAAAAGAAAAAAAGCTACGGTTCCATTAATTTTAAAACTTCAGGTAGTTTATGAGAATATTTATATTATTAACTTGGAGGAAAACTATGTACTGATGCTAAACAAGACAAAATTTTTTTGGAAAACAAAAATGACGCAGTCTGTTTCAAGCGCTACTTTCAATTCTCTGGAGCAAGAAAAAATGAAGTTTTTCTCATTACAGTCCATCTCCCATTTCATTCATAACTCGCAACTTTATGAAGCGCTTAGTTCAGTAGTAACAAAATATAAATGCCTTTATGATTGAAAGAATATAGAAAACATTTCAAAAGCGAGCGGTCTTTTGTTTTGTAAGAGTTGTTCCCTGGAAACAAATGCCCCACAGAATCAAAAAATGCAGTTTTTTCTTTATAATGACGATTAGATTCATTGAATTTACCTAAAAGTTACTTTTCATCGAGGCTATGAAATTCACTAATAACAAAAATAGTCCTTTTCTATATCAAATTTGAGAGATATGGACCACTAGGCTATTTTTCTCACAATTTTCAATCCAATTACACAAAAACCGTTTTTTTTGTGTAAAAATAGCCAACAGATAATATCATTTGAAAGTAGTCAATGAAAGCAAAGAAACAGAAAAGAAACACTGACATGCCTTTAATTTCAAAGTAAAAAGTACATGGTCTTACAGTTCTTTGATTTTCAAGAAAAATTTATAATTGGAAAATTTTTGATAAAATAAACTAAATTTGAGAGACTTGGATCAGAAGGTAAAAACATTTTTCTCCACTGGGAAATCTGAAAATTGAATTCCACTTTCGAAACTTAAAGTTGATGATGTTTATCGTTACCTTTAACCTTTCGTAATTGGTGTACTTTTAGCGGATGAAATTAACTCGAATTCAAACAATGCATATATATCTAGAAGCATCTATAATTATATAGACATGTATGATTGCACATTTGTGATTTGTTAGAGCAATTTAAAACTTTTCCTGAAAAAAAACGGGAGAAAACAATCACGACCTTCATAAAAGTCTGAACTACGTTTATCGCCTCTTAAAAATCCCAGTATAATAATTGGCGCAACTTTCTTGCTGAAGATCAATGACTACAGCTGTTATAATAGTTTGAAGTTATCTTCATAATAAATTCAAAAATTTCACCATAAAAAAATGAGTGTTTAAAAAATGTTTTTTTTTCTGATTAAAAAAAAGATAAAAGTGTTATCCATTCGTTGCCATTCGAGAACCGCAACCCTGACTTCTCTTCAATTTACAATAAATTGTGCCAAGTCAACGTTCTTTCTTGACGCATACACAAAAGTTTTACCGTCATGGCTTTTTATATGGCTCTGAAACTTTGAAATAAACACAGAAACTTCAACGAAGTGAGAAAAAAATTATCAAAAAACCTTGATTCTTGCTGCCTCTCTCTTAAATTTTCCAATTTCAACTTTTAGTTAGCTTCTTTTGGTCCTGCTGATAGGGCCATTTTGATTAAATTATGAAAAAATTTCACTCTGATTTCATATTATCACTAATTATCTTCAACTGAAATCATTGGTTCAACAACAACGACCAGCTCGGTGTCGACGACAAGATGGTGGTCCAGGCACCAACCAGTTCCAATCAGTTCAAGGACAATGAGATAATGACTTACAAACCATCACACATTTTAATTAGTACTCTTTCCTGTTCCGTTAGAATTTCTTTGCGCTGTCGGAAAAAGAACTGGATTTACTTCATTAAATGTTTTTGAAAATTTCAAATGGATACGTTGTTTGAAAATTTGACTTACTTGAATTTCGGTCGAAGAAGAAGCCACGGAATTTGTCGAACAGAGAGGCTGAAAAAGAAATCCACTATTACAGCATTGAAGTTATGTGTTTACCAAATTGCTTTTTTGCTCTTACAAAAACCTGCCATTTTGTTGCTAGAAACCACAATTTAAAACCCGATTGTATTTTTCTACTACATTTCCATGATGTTAAAACGTATTAAGGTTAGTAAGATGAAAACATATTAGAAAAATATCCAACATAGAGTTGGAATAGAGTTATGAACGCAAGGAAACAACAAAAACTGACTGTTTTTTGCAAAAATTTCAAATTTCGATTTTCAAAGAAAAATATCCAAGGCCTTATAGCCCTTTGAATTTCTAGAACAATTAATGATTGACACGTTTTTGATAAAATTAGCGCTATTTGAGAAAACTGGATCGATAGGTAATTTTTTTTTTTCGCAGGGAAATCTGAAATTTAAATTCCATTTTCAAAACTAGACCTTTACACGTTTGCTGTTTGATAGTGGAGTTTACTTGTCTTTTAACAAAGAAAATGAACTGAAGTTAAAAAGAAATCAAAAGTCAAATCGCGAAATATCAAACCTGAGCCATAGCTAATTTTATGACTTTTTCCTGGAAAAATTCGAATTAACAACTAAGGGAAAATGTTTTCTTCACTCCTTGTTTTTCTTACCCTGAGTGAGAGTGAGCATGGTCGTGGACATGGTGTGCTGCAGGTGGGTGGGGGAGACACCCTGGAAGTTCCTCTGGGAAAAGTCAGCCCCGAACGACAGCAGTAGAGTAACCATTTCTACACAGTCCAACTCAACTGCCCAATGCAAAGCTCTGAAACACAATTCTTCACATAGCCACACACTGACATCGTTTGCAAAAATTGAAAAATAATTTTTGTTTGAGGTTTCAGCAACATTCTACAGCCCAGAAGTATAGCTCAAAAATAAGCAACATTCTACAGCCCAGAAGAATGATTGCCCAAAAATTGGTTAAGAGTGTTTTTTTTACTTTTCACATTGGGATTGGACCGAGTAGCGTATCTTGAAAAAAGCCAATAGACAGTTGAACTCAACGAAACAAAGAAAATTTACTTCGAGCAATCGGAGAAAACTTCAGATGCGTTTTTTCTACCTTGCTTTGTCTTTGATGGTTTATAAATCAGAAATAAAAACCGGAAGTACGCAATTTTAAGCACTTTCTGTCGATAATATACGTAACAACTCCAAAAAGTGGTGCAAAGTTTTTGGCCAGGTGAGAAACCCAAGGCCAGCCGGCTCTTTCTCATTCTACTCACACCCACCCTCAGCCCACCACAAACTTTAGCCCCACAATTTAAAAATCCGAATTTATCGGAGCTATAATTGTTTTTGTTACTTAACTAGGTGGGGGGCTATAAAATGAGAGAATTATCCAAAAGATCTTAGTAACAGTTTGCTATACCACATAACACACATACTCGCTTGGCAATCGAAAGTTTTTCGGATCGATGTCCATACGCTGTCAATTTTTGTAAATTGGTCTGAATAAAAAAGCATAGCCAACAAACAGTTGGTTGAAACTTTCGAATTTCAACAAAAAGTATATGGCCTTGAAATTTTTTTATTTTTCAAACCAATTTTTATTTGGAACTTTTTCGACAAAATAATTTCAATTTGAGAAAACCGGAATATTAGATAAATTTATATTCCACTTAGAAATCTCAACAGTAAATTAATTTCAGAACTAAGAATCGATCACGATATTTTTTTTGTGAGTAGACATCAAATTTTGCAAAGTTCTTTTAGCAAAAGGACTCAAAATAAAGTCAAAAAAGTGCATATATACTTAATGACACTTTGGCATTCATAAATGCAATTGAAAAATTTAGTATCATTGTCCAATTTAGGGTCACTACACCAAGAAATTAAAAAAACAGAACGTACTCCAAATGACTTTCAATAAAATTTAACAAATATGAGTTTTTGCGGCAGAATTTTTGAAGCTTTGATCAGCTTTTAACTCCACAAGAATCACGATTTTTCGAAAAAAATTTTCTTTTTTGACTTCTATTTAACTTTTTTTCTTTTTTTTTGCTATACATTTTGCGAGGATAGCTGTGGACAAAACGCAACTAGTAATGCTTGGAACTAATTTAAGATAAAAAATTTGTTGATTTTGATGAAAATGAACTAATTTGACAAATTAAATCAAAAGTTTTTCACTACTGCTCTGGAAACAAAACCATTGAAAAATCATTAATTAGGAAACAGAGCCAGCAGACAGTTGGAAAAGTGTCAATCAACGCAAGAAAAACTCGAATAACTTGTTTTTTGGAAAAACTCAAATTTCGATTTTCAAATTTAAAAGGTATAGCCTGAAGGCTGATTATTTTTCGAGAACAGTTTATGTTGAAACTGACAAAGAGAATTTTGACAAAAAGTAACTCATTTTGATGAAACTGGATCAAAAACTAAGTTTTTATTCCGCTGCGAAGTCTGAAAGTAAAAATCCACTTTCGAAACTGAAAAACGATCACATTGGAGTTTGTCTTCTTTTCCTTATTTCAACAAAGAAAGTGGACTGAACTAAAAAAAAATGAAAAGTCAAACCATGAAAAATTAATTTTGAGCGGGATTAAATTTTAAGACTTCAAATGATTGGCTCTTTTAGTAACATATCCCGGGTTGACCAAAAGTCGCTATCTTAAAATTTTTCTTATGAAAATCATACATTTTCTTGCAACATTAGTCTCTAAAAATAATACAAGATTGTGACTTTTCTAGCAAGAAAAATGCTAGAAAAGTCACAATCTTGTATTATTTTTAGAATTTTTCCTACAATTTTTATAAAATTCTTATACATATTTGCTTTCTAAAATTTTCTTATAACAAGTTTAAAGTTCTCCACTGTCGCAGAGTACAATAACGGAAACCCGTAGGCAATTCAAAATGCATACATTATAACCACTATCTAAAATCTTTTACATGCACAAAATTGAAAAATTTTTTTGTAAATTTTAAAAAAATGTTTTAACTTATATCTAAAATCTTTTAAATGCAAAAAAATTGAAAAACAAATGTTTCAACCTTTGTTTTTTATCTGTTATCACGGTATAGAAACTCATTCAAAATGTTTTTGGCAGTTTTTTTCTATTGGGGAAAAGTTGCTATCTTAGAACTTTTCTTATAAGAAAGTTGTTTGATAGGGGAAACTTCCCTCAAATCTTAAATAAAGTTCTAGGATATTTTTTGGCGGATGGTTAACTTGGGACCGTGCGTCGCTAGCGTTGATTGCAGTTCCTTCTCCTTAAAATCTTGCTATAAAGCATGATTATGGGACTTAAGTCTGATGTATTTTTCTGACAACGTAATATCGCCAAGCTTAAATAGCTACAGGACCATAATTTAAACTCAAACAAAATACACTTTTTCCAAAGTGACACCAAACTGAAATCACGATATCAGACCAAAAATATATCAGAACTTTATTGGCGATATCAGAAATCAGAAAGATATCAGAATTCAAAGAAGCAAAAATAAGTTTCCATATTCTGACTAATTACACTCCGATTGGAGGATAACGGGAGTAGCCACAATCTGATTTTATTTTTGCTTGTTTTTTAGCTATTGTAACTTAAAAACTCGTTAAGTCTTATTTCAAACCCTGTTGCTCACGAAAAAAGAAACTTTGATAAAATAAAGAAATTCACTTCTTTGCTTTTTCCAATGTTTGCAACAATCAAAACCGAGTTAAGTAATGAAAAATGGAATCAAATGGTTAAGGAGCAAAACTGTAAAAGCGCTCAATAAAAAAACATCATCAGATAGATAACCACAGTAAACATAGCTTCTGTTTTTTAATTGGCACAAAATTACTCACGATGAGCCAGTGTATGTATTGACTTGTGACACCTCTGCGCCCTCCTGCAAAATTCTTTCTGCCACCTGAACACTCTTACTTTTGGCCGCCACCAGCAGAGGACAATCTCCGTTATGGTCCACAGAATGAATTCCGTCTGTCCCCTGAACACGCAGTCCATACTCGAACATCACCTGGAAATGGAACAAAAATGGGTTTTCAAGATATCGGCAATTAAATATTTTGGGCAATTATAAGCGATTCTATTGAGGTTTTAGAATCCATTTTCGTTGCGCAAAAAAAATGAATCATAATCAGGAAGAATACTTGTCGGCTTTTTTTCTGATTTTTGGCGGTACTAAATTCAATGTTTTAGAGGATCAATCGTTTTGAGATTAATGTACAATTAGTATCCAAATGAAGACAACATGGCTATTTTCTAAACACTATATATTTTTTTAACAATCCCAGCCTAAAAGTTGTTTTAACCAATCTTTCAATCAAAATCTCCCAGATGAAAATTATCTTGAGAGATAAAAACTTACCTACTTTTCGCTAACATTTATTATTAAGCAATTATTCTTGATCTGTTTAAAAAAGCACAAACAATTCAATACTTTCACCTGAAATGAGAACAAGACTGCTCGTATCAAGTAAAACCTTGAATGTTCTGACTGCTTTTTATGTTCTATACAGTAGTGTTCGCTTTCATAAAAGATTTTTAAAAAGAAAAATGTTTAAGACTTTTTTAAAGAACAAAAGAACAAATGTTTTTAGACAGAACAAAATGATATGTCTTCAATGCAGCAAAGCGTTAATTAAACTAAATAGCTTGGCTCAGTTCAATTAGGAAAAACTTCTAAGACGGTTTAAATATCCGCTTACGCGGTAGTTGCACGAAGTATATCGCGCGTTGATTGTCCCAAGTTGGCCTAATTGGCAACCTTTAAACCCCCATAACTTTTCAAAAATGATCACAAGTGGAATATTTCGAATATTTTGTCACTTTCTTCGAAAGTCGGAACAATAAAATTTTATATGTTTCGAGATAGCGCTGTTTTTTTTTGTAATATTATTTTGTTTTATGCACAGAGATTGATTGAATCGAATGTAATTGCTCGGATGGTTTTTTATTTGGGCCATTTCTCAAAAAAATTTCCATTAGGAGATCAATACATGAATCTTTGTAGTCCCAGAATGGACGCTCACCACTAGACTATCTTGGCTTAAGGATTGCGTTGGTGTAAGGCTAACTAATAAACTGACGTGACTATAAGAGCGCTGTGACACTTTGATGGTGAAAATTTAACGCGCTTCGCTTATGCGAGGCGAATTATCCCTCGCCCCAAAATTGAGACAGGCTAATTGGTCTTATTAATTCTTATTATTCTTGTTATATTGATTCTTATTATTCAGCTTGAAATTCATAGTTTGTCAATTTTCCATGAACTAAAAACTATTCGAGACCAGCTTATGCACAGTCGACACAGTCATGTGATTAGAGAAGTCTTGTTTTTTCTAGTTTAACATTCAAATAATTTTAGCATATAAAAAGAAAATGTACTTTTCAAAAATCTTTTGGCTGGTGCAAAAATTCCTTTTTTTAAATCAAGTCTTTTCTAATACTTATGTTGGAAAAAATCCTAAAATTGACAAAAACGTTCCATAGATGTTAAATGCAGAAAATCTCTGATGACATAAAAAACTTAACGTATAGGGTCTCGAAAACTGTCAAAAAATGCGGATTCTACTTACAATTTGCGGATTCCACTTACAACTTGCGGATTCCACTTACAATTTGCGGATTCCACTTACTGTTGTGGATTCCGCAACAGCTCAATTTAACGATATAATTGTCTTATCATTTTTTTGTGGATTCCACAAACTGTTCTGGATTTCGCAAATACAGTTGCGGATTCCGGATATCCGCCTATTTTTGGAACGATTTTGAGCCGTACAATGTTTTAGGTATTTGTTTGTGGAATCCAAAACAGCATAGAAGATCAAAAAAAAGTAGCAATGCTGCAGATTCCGCGACAAATCTGATTTTGGCCTGTTGCGGATTCCGCTTACAATGCACAGAATGCACAGTTTGGCCTCGTAATGTAGAGTGGGAAAATGATAGCTGGAAGTTTGTAATTTTTCTCAATGTTTGGAGCAAAAATGATAATAAATGTCCAAAGTAGGCATTACAATAGAATTATTTAACTCTTATTACAAAAACTGTTGCTATTGAAAAGGACAAGAAAAAATTTTGACTTGTAATCCAATGCGCAAAAATAGCTTATAGCTGACGTTGGACAGATGTGTCAGATTTCTCGTGGTTTTCCTGTATATGATTGGCAAATATGTTGTTCCAGGTAATTCAAAAGCAAAAAGAATTTTCATAGGATTTTTAATGTGTAACAGTTTTTCGCGACTAACTTAAGACGGAACTTTTGTTTCTATATTTCTTCTTCTTGATGTGTTTTATATGGCGTTTTTGGGCCACCTATATATGCATATTGCACTATGTTGTGTTTTTGCGCGACTTAAACCTTGTAGCGCGAGAGGATCGGTTCGGAATTTTTTTTTTTTTATGGTACCAAACAACAGAGGTGAAACATCCATTCGTAAGTTTATCATTTAATGAACTTCATAACTTTTTGTACTAATCAGTATGCGAAAATGTATTCATTTACCAATTTAAATACAAGATTAGAGTATGCATGAAATTATTGGAACAACGGGGAATAACTTACCAGAGAGTTATCCATGGCAGCCCTGTGCATCCAGGTCTCACCAAACTTCTTGTTCAACTTTATCGCAGCCAGTTCTAAGCAAAAATTAATGTAGTTTAATGTGATAAATTTGCTTTTTCAAATAAAAAATTAATTGATTGTACATTCCTTTCCTAATCCTCTTAACTACAGAAAAAAATGAATTGTTTAAATTTTCTATGCCAGCAGCGAATACAGGGGAAAATGGGGGGGGGGGGGGGGCAGGAGTGGATAAGCCTTTTCTATGGAGTTCTAGCAACTGGCCATCCAAAGTCCTCCCCCCCCCCCTTGGTTAATGACGTACATTTTTTGCCGAATAAACATAAAAGCTTTATGTAACACTATTCAGCGCCAATCTTATACTAATTTTGAAAGGGTGCGACAAAATTTAATTTTTTCAATTAAACTCACACAGAAAAAAACGCTTTGCCATAGATGACAGAAGGTGAAAAATTACAGCTTATGTCAAATACAGAGGATCTCGTTTGACAGAATGAACCCATTGCCTACCTTGTGGAAGTGGTTCCTTAGTCTCACTTGGCTCTCTCTTGGTCTTAACCTCAAATAGCCCTTTGCAGTCAGATGTCCGCTCTGGCTCGTCGTCGTCTGAGATACTTTGAACGCTCAAAGGGTGGAGGTTTTCAATCGTTGTCAGGTTCTCGGAGGATTCAAAGTCTATTGACAGTCTGTTGTCATGTGAATTTTCGTCCTCAGAGCAACTCAATTGACTAAATTTACGCTTGAGATAATTAGCTTTTCTGGTTTCATCAGGTTTTTCAGTTGCTTCACGATGGTTAGGCACAGAGGAGCAGCTGGTATCCATTTCCGTCGTGCCATCGTCTTGAGATTGCAATGATTTTGATGTGTTCTTATCAGAGCTACCCAAAGATGATATTCGGGACCATGTTGGCGACATTATAGGCGCAAAGGGCGGTTGAAATAGATTGGAGGGACTTCTGTTTGAGTTTCTTGACGTTGAAGGTGCCTGATCCTGATCATCCACGCCTAATGATGCTGACACGGTGTGAGGTGTTAGTGAGGTAGTGCTAGTTGTTGCTGTGCTTGTGTTCAGCTGTGGCAGCGATGCAAATGGTGACGAAGACGCCATTTGCTGGCTGTGTTTAAACTCCAGTGAGATCTTGATGCGCATATTGTCCGTTTCGATGTCAAACTCTGGCATGTTGCCGTCCAGTTGCGACGTGTGAATAGATGTCGAAGACGAAGGTGACACGGAAGTCTGCGACGACTGCGACCCCATCTGAAGTTGATCTGGTTTCTCTGCCGCTTCATTGGCACCTGAGCTGGATGATTCAGCGCTAGATTTGTTTCTCTTCCCGTATCCGAAATCTTGTGAAAATCTAGAAACAAGACATAACAGAAATGAATGCCGATATGTGATATGATGGCTCGATTATGCCGATGCCATGATTACAAAGGTAAAAAACCATTAGCGTAAAACATATATATATAAGAAACAAACAGCTAAAGTAGTTATTTGATAACGAAAAAATTTCTTTTTTCTTGAAAACTAGCAAACAAAAAATTGCACAATAGAATTGAAAGTTCACGTCGCTCGCTTATTGACACTTAAGATTTTCACCGTTCAATTCAATAAATTTTTTCTGCATGAAATCAAACCGAGAGATATAGAAAAAAAAAGAGAGAGAGAGAGAGAGAGAGAGAAGGACTTAATTTACCCCTTGGGGAATTTACAAAACAATCTTACAATTTACAAAACTTAACAGCAACAATAGAAAGTTTATATTTTTAAAATAGATATTAAGAACGATAATACAGGCAAATACATTTTGCCGACCACGTACAGCTCACTTTTTCATTGTAAGTTTGAAGCTGGCTTTTGTAGAAAAATGAATTTTCCTCTTCCATTCACAAAATGAGTCACGAGCATCAATTTTCAGGTGATTTACCAGCCTTACAACTCGATCAAAATAAAAATTTCTCGTCTTCAATTATTTTCGATTTTGCAAAACACACATGCAATAATTTGAGCTCCGCAACGACGAACAAGATTCTGAAAGGGTAACGTAATCGAAAATATTCATATTTCCCGTGGAAAAGTCGATGGAAAAGGAGTAAATCACTTTTCTCTAACTTATAGGAGATAGGGTAAATATTCAAGTTCACGAGTGTAGAATTATAATCACCAGTCATGGCAATCCACTTAATGCAACGCTTATTTAAAGACTCCAACTTCTGAAGATCTGTTTTGCTTGGGGACCAAATCGGAGATGCATAAAATAAAATGGAGAGAATACAAGTTTTGTATAAATTAATTTTGAGTGATCTAGATGCACTCATCGGAACATTTCTTTTCGGCATAAAGAAGACCTTATATCACTTCAAAATTTTGTCAGCAACGTGGAGGGACCAACTTGAGTTCGAAGTAAAAATAACACCAAGGTCTTTAAAACTTTGAATGCTATCAAGAAAAGTACTACCGATATAGAGAGTTGTTATGGAACAGTGAAAAAATGAGAGTTTTTTGCACTTCTCTGGATGTAAAGCAAGAAAATTTTCAGTGCACCTCCGCTGTAGAGCGGACAAGTCAGTCTGTAAGGAAGTAGAATTTACGCTGCAGCATTTGAGATCATCAGCAAAGAGAAAAGAAGAGGTGCTAAGGGTTGAGGGAAGATCGTTTACAAACAGTAAGAATAATAAAGGCCCTAAAAGGCTACTACCTTGGGGCACCCCACTTGTCACTGAGGCAATTTCAGATAGCATTCCATCTATGCGCACACGCTGGTAGCGAATGGATAAATAACTATGTAGAAGTTCTAGGAAATCATGATCCAGGCCATATGACGCAAGTTTATAAAGCAGCCTGTCATGACGCACTGAATCGAAAGCTTTCTTAATGTCAGCATAAAACACGGTAGTAAAAAGACCCTGCTCATGACCTTCAAAAAGTTTATCACAAAAACTCAAAAGTTGAGTTACAGTTGAACGCCGAGACATGAACCCATATTGCGATGACGAAACTTTGTACCGGATTTTCAAATAAACATGATCGAATAAAACTCGTTCTAGACCTAGTGATAATTTCGGTAATAAGCTGATTGGCCGATAATTGGTAACATCACTGTACCTTTCTTTCTTATGAAGAGGCGAATCAAACGCAGTTTTCCAAGCATCAGGCCAGACTTTGTGCTTCAAAATATTCTCGTAAAGCGCAATAACCAAGGGACACAGTTGATTAGTGCAGTACCTTAGAAATGCAGGAGGTACATTATCACAGCAAAATGAGGATGAATCATCAGCAGAGCTTATGAAGTGGAGAATTTTATCGAGAGAGATAGTAATGGAATTTAACGAAGTTGACGAACAAGTATAGAGCTGTAACACATCGACCGAACAGGAGGGTTTGAAGACTGAAGCGAAAAAGCGATTAAATAAATTAGCTTTTTCTAAAATGGTGCGAGGCTTAAATGACCCCCAATGTAAGGTGCCAGGAAATGTACACTTGTTGGAAATGCTTTGGAGAATTTTGAAACAGTTGTTAACATTCAAATTTGCAAATGAGTTGAGATAACATAATTTATCTAGTTCTAAGTTTCGGTCAAGCTCAAGTGCCAGAAAACTATGATCGCAAGCCGGGAATTGACGTGTCTTTGAAGTTAGTTTATTAATAAGGTGAAAGGTAGTTGTTTTCGTTTTTTCCGTTTTAGCTGTGCAGATGCTGCCACTGCACCTGATATTGTAGATATAAACAGAGTTGAAAAATCTTCAAGTAAAGGAGAATAACTTAATGCATCGTAGCATGCATCTAGGAAACTATTAAAAGTAACGAAATTAAAAGAACTTCTGGAATAAGATGGTGGAAATATCTCAGCGTTTGTATGCATTGAAAATGTCACCCCAACGGCATGGTGATCAGAAAGTGCACAATCAAAAACCACAGGTTCATTTTCTAGAAAACGGTCAGTTAGAAGAATGTCAAGTATATTCCCACTATTATGAGTTGGTTCATGAATCAATTACTGCAGATTGAAATCCTGGAAGATTGAAATCAAACTCATGTCATAGCTGGAAGAACTAAAGTTAGTACGCCAATCAATATCCGGTAGGTTAAAATCACCGCCAAGTAAGAAATAATTATAAACAACTAAGTTTTGAAAATTCCCTCCGGTAAGCAGAATATACTGAGGATAGGAAATATTGAACTTCTGAACAGCGTTGCTTAAACCTAGAAGATGCAGGAGGATTATATACTGTAGCAATGCATAAAACATATGAAGAACTCGAAAGTATAGCAGCGGATCCAACATTAGAGTTGCAATGAACCGGTATGATATTAAAATGTGAATTTAAGGTAGATTTCATAGCTATAAGAGTACTCCCGTGTTCGCCATTTGATCTATCAGATCGAGCAATAACGAAATAATCAGAAAAAGGAAAAACGTGGTTAGATTCGGTAGAGTCATTCAGCCACGTTTCGGAGGTACAGAAGATACCACAATTCCATGAATTTAACAAGTTAACAACTTGTAGTCGTCCATTTAATGAAACCAAACTTTGGCAATTCAAGAACACTATAAATAATTCAGAATATAGTCAGTCTTCATTGGAAATTTTGGAACCTCTTGGCCATCCAAACAAAGTTTTAAATCTCTAATTTTAATGAGACTTTTGTCATGCCCAGATTCGCTAAGTTCAAATTGCTTTTTCAGAAGGGTTTTTTTCAAGTTCTTGGCCAGTTTTTGTGAGGGACTTACTAAGGAATACGGCAGATGAATAGTCTTTCAGCTTGTAGGCTTTGCTCAATAACTTGCGAGCAGACCACGCTGAATTTAATTTTACAATGATAATTCGGGACTTTCCTGAATTGGGTTTCACTTTGCGCGCCCTATAAACGTCTTGAATACAACCTGAAGCATCCTTTTCAATAAATTCCAGCACATCGGTGACTAGTTTCGAATCATCTTCGAATTGTTTCGCTGTGATTTCAGATGAGCTCTCAGTTATGCCTTGAATTCTGATTTCATCTACTTTATCGAGAGTTCCAGACTGTGGAGAGGTAGAGGGGTTGGAGATGACGGTTTGGACAGCAGGGGTGACTGTGACTGGCACAGACTTGATAGATTTTTCTACCGCAGATATCGAATTGACAATTAAGGTAGTGGACTTCACCCTGGACAAGGCTTCGCGTAATAATAAGTGAGATTGCTTTTATTGACAGTGGCGAGAAACTTATTCAATTCTTCAGGATTACAATCAAGCAGCTCGTCAATCGCAGGAATTAAGTCCTTGGTAGACGGTAACCGCCCACGTCCACTATCGCCGTCCACCATGACAATCAAATCAGTTGTCTCTATTCTAGCTCTTTAAAATAAATCAAGAAGAAGTATCGGCAATAAAGCAGAGAATGATAGAGTTAATAACCAACAACGTCACGTAAGTGAAATGAATATATCTTTTTTTATTCTGGTTCAAATGCTGTGTACCATCAATCGGATCTCTAAAATCCCTTAGCATAGGGCTATCCACGTAAGTATCCGATTCGTGCGCTCTGAAATGAACTTATCAAATAGCAGCTAGTGCTATTTAATAAGTTTATCACAACAATTTGGCTAATTGAGTGAACCACAATCTTCAAAATTCAGTTAGACTAATTGTTCCGACTTTCGTAACGAAAGTAACGGAATATTTGTGCTAGGGGTAGTTTTTTTCATCAGACAAATTTCGACTTTTCAATTAGCCATATTTGACAAAATTTTCAAATCATTGAAAGGGTATTGATGTCTTGAGCCTAATTTTGAAAAAAAAAATTACCTCTGATTTGGTTTCTCAAGGTTATGGGGGTTTAAAGATTACCATTTTGGCCAATATGGGACAATTCACACGCGATATATTTCGCGCTATTAACGCTATTAAGCGGAGATTAAATCCGTCTTAGAAATCGTTCCCAATTGGTTAAAGGAAGCTTACTTGCCATAATTTATTCGTTACTAAGAGCTAAATTCACCATTTTGTTCTTTATATAACGTGTGGCTGATGATTTTCACACAAAATCATAAATTGTATAAAAAAATCATTGTATATTTTACATTTAATTTTTTCATGCTATTACTGCTCCACACACCCTACAAAGTGGTCGGAACATTCAGTTTTTTGCCTTGATGCGAGCAATCTTGTTAAGGTTTGTGTTCGAATAGAATCAAAAGATAAACCTAACCAAGAAATAGTTAAATAACCGGAATATTTCAAAAAAAATCGTCTTAATTTTTTTCTTTTCATCTTGCTAGAAAAAACAACATCGCCCTATTTACTTTTTAAAGCCATCCAAAAATGTTTTTATTTTTTGACACAAAACCAACTTCGTGAAACCGTATAAACAGAT